GGGAGGGTAGGTGCATGTCTTGTAGTAATGCAGCTGTTAGGATGATAAGCACAGTTTTCTGCCTCCCTGCTTCACAGGGTTGAAATTTTCCCACAGGCTCTAAATCTGCAAAGCAGAGACTATCATATTATCACCACTGTCTGAGTTGATAATGGAATAGTTCTGGGCATATAATATCTGGAGTGTCTGCAAGTATGACACAATTTACAGAAGTCCTTCCCTGGGAAGCTGTGGAGATGTAAACCAAAAGTTGTGCTTAATAACAAAAATTAAATCTTCAGTGCTGAAAGGTTAGAAAAATCCCAGTATATTCACAATGCTGAGAGTAGAGGCCTGTTACTGTTGCAGTGGTAACATCTCTGCCAGGGCAGCTGAAGATAAATGCACAAACAGGACTGCTAATGAGAAGGAAAAGCAGTCCTATCTGTATGCTGGCCCTACCAGAGAAAGTTTCATCTTTAGATACAGTGTTGACTAGGTGTCCATTCAGCTGTCTATATCCTGTGCTTTCTGAAGTGAGTGGCTACACAAATGAAATAAATATTAAGTCACAACACAAGTTTGAGCACTGTGTTGCTACTGCACAGATTTTTATATTGTTAGCACGGACTGTGGTCCGATTCTGCTGTGTGCAAGTTAGTACTCTCACAGATATTGACCAGGAATGGTCTGAGGAATAGCCTGCATCAAGGATGTTTCCCGAAAGTCAGGAGGGTTTTATATGATGATGGCGAGTTTTGTGAAGCTGTCTAGCCTAAAGGCTAGACTAAAGTTCCTGGCTCACTTTATATTCTTGCACAAACATAATCACTGATATCAACTGTGAAATACTAACTGTGATTTTCTTCTCAGTAGGAAGGATAAAGCTTTTTTTCCATGCTGTTTAAGTTCAAATGCCAGGTCAATGGTAAAATCTGTGTTAGAAACTACTTTAGCCAGATATAAGTCACGCTTTACACACTGCTCTTCACATAAAAATGTATGAAGAAGAGGCAGTAGTGATGCCAAACTGAACCATCATCTGGTGCAGCAGGAGTGGTGTGCCATCTGCCTCTGCACAAGGAACAATTAAATAAACTAGGGTTCTTTCCACAAGTTTGTTAAACATATGGCTGAGGGAGGGAATACAGCAGAGGTCTGTAAAACAAGAGTGTAAGAAAGAAGAATTTTTTATTGCCTCTTCAGTGTAAGACCTAGGACACATCCAAAGAAACGGTCCAGTGGAATGTTCACGTCTTTAAAAATTGGATGCAGTAAAAAGATTTGTTTCTTCATAAAACACGCAGTTAGGCTATGGGCACCCTGCCACAGGTTGCTGTGGGTGCCAGCAGTTCACACAAGTTCTACAACTTATTGGTCAAACTCATGGAAGAAAAGCCTGTCAAGGGCTACTAAATTTTACGATGTCACCTGTGACTCAGGGACACCTTGCTCCTCCAGTTGGTCAGAGCTGGGTGAATATTCTGGGAATTATTACATGAACTGAGCAATTTCCTTGATATCTCTTGTTGGCCACTGCTGGAGACAAGCTATGGTGCTACACATCTAGATCTTTCATCTGTATCAGTACAGTTGTATTACATTCTTCCGTGCCTGCTCTGCTACTCGACTGTTAAAGCTGTCCATTACCAGTTTTCTCTCTCATTTATTATGCAGTTGGGGTCCTGGAGGACAAGAGGGTCTTCCTCTGCCTTTCCTGGACAAGACCAGGAAGTAGGAGGTGGTTTCTCTCCTTTTGCTGGTTAAGAGCTGCAGGAAGAGGAGGTAGGAGAATCTACTCTTCATGGACAGGAAAGTTGGGGGATTTGAACAGCACTGAGTATCGGGCAGCCTTACTCCACTCCAAATTTCCTTCTCTGTTTCTGAGAAGGCATTTAGGTGAAGAGAGAAAGACATCACTTCTAGTACCAAATGGCTGCTCTTCTCCAGAAGGCTAAGAGGTAGAGCTCAGCCTGAACTGAACCCTGAGCCAAGAGAGGATTTAACCTTTATCCAGTAAGAGAAATATTTCACTCTCCCTTTTTAGGAACTGTATTCTCCAACTTGTAACTCAATCTCTAAGAGAATTGATTCCTTGGCTCAATACAGTGAGCCCAGGAATGAAGCTCCGTGGTCTGTGACAAGAAGCCACACAAGCAGATGGTCTCTTCCGGCCTCCACATCTATGACCTGCTCCAAGAATATTGATACATGGTGCAATTTAAAGAAGGTCTGAAACTCTAGAAGCTCTGAAAACACTACACAGTGTATTAAAAACAAAATAGCACAGTAATTCCCATCTTTCATGCTCTCATTTCCTAGCAGGGATATGTCTACCTCAGACTCAATGTTAGGCACAAAGGCTTGAGTAAATCATAGAAGCACAGCTATAGTCATACCAGTCCTCACAACCTGGTGTCAGTTCTGAACTTCTTGTTAGCGTGATCCCTTTTTGAGCTCATCTGTCTTCACACAACACTTGAACACTAGGCATGGAAGAGCTAATTGCTTGCAGAATCTCACCTCAGATAGTGGCAATACATGTCTATAGCTGCAGCCACACATTACAGCTGGCTCTCATTTCCCAGTCTCTAGGAACTGAACTTCTGAGCATGATGAGTCAGCATAATTTGGTTTTACTACGTTTTTCTTTTCATAAAATGGTTGATTTTGTAATACACAGATTACAAAGCTTAAATGAAAATCTTTGAGATTTTTCTTCTAATCTTTCACAAGCATCTTTGAGATTTTTCTTCTAATCTTTCACAAGCATCTTTGAATCACAGTTATGACTAGTAGTTTGGGAAGCACTGAACTGAAGGGTAGTTTCCTTGACTTTCTGTAGTCAGCAAATACCCTGCCTCTCAGCTGACATCTAAAATAAAACTTCCTTCCTTTTCCTTCCAAGTTTAGTCCCTCGTTTCCTCCTTGTACAAGGGGTGCCCTTCAGCATTTCCATCTGGAGGTGAAGAAGAAAAGCTCTGACACAAGAAGGATTGCTTACTTCATTGCCTGGTGTGTTTGTCCTGGACTTTCATTTCTCCCTATTATTTCCTTTCTTTTTTTTTTTATTTGCGTTTTTCCCATAGGAAGACATTCTATTTCTGTGCTAATACTGTGCCATGGTTGTGCTATTTTTACATCTTTGTTTTGGTGCTTCAAGTCTGTGTGAATTAAGGAAGAGGTGATTGACTAACAGTAAGGTTTTATTCTGTCATTTTTCCAGTATATTCTCACCAGTACTGAGGACTGCTCATCCACATATTCAACTGAGGGATGGAGGGAAATTATAGTTACAGTTAAATGTAGTGATTTCTTTTGTTAAAATAAGTAATTCATATAATAAACTCTAACCATCTAACACATAGTGAGCTGATAAAACAATGTGAAATTCTGAAAGTAGGATGCATAGCGGAGCGCAAAATGACAAGTAGAAAAACTCAAAGAAATCTCACAACTGAACTGACTATAGCACTTCCTCAGTGCACATTTAGAACAACTGAGACCCGTCAGCCAAACTTTTCACCAAGTAGCCTAAAAGATGCTCCACATAAAGTATGTTAGCACACTAGTTAGGCTTTACTCTTCTTCCCTGTGTGACTCAAAGAAGACCTGAATGAATCACTCCCTTCCCTCTCTCTATCTTTTCAATCTTAGAAATGTGAGGAATGCAATATCCTGTTTTCTTTGGTTTTGCTGGGGGGCCTTGTGGGTGCTTTAGGAAATGTTTAAATGCTGAAACTTTAATAAAGAGCTCAGTCGTCCAAAAGGACCTCATTAGTCATGGACAATGAAAGACTATTAATAGCAACATCAACAATATGCAAACAAAAAGTCAGAACAGTGTTTAAAAGCCCCTTCTTTTCCCAAATACTAAAGATCCTCTCACTTCAGTCTTGTGATAGCCTCACTTTATTACTCTGCAGTTAGCTTTTCTGTTTGTAAAACAGTAATTTCTATTGTAAACATCCCATCCCAGAAACTCTCTCCCACTTTTGAAAAAAAGGACACCTCTTTCAAGATTTTTACAATCCATCATATAAAGGCAAAAGAGACTCATTTCTGTCCCTTTGAAAATCACAATTTTCCCTTTTGAAACAATACAACTTCTAAGAACACTAGCTTTGAAATAACCCAGACTAACTAAAGTGATTCCATAGTAAGTTAGTATTCTACTGTGGATGAACCTTTCTCAGTAACAAAATATGATGTTTTACTGCACACCCTTGCTAAAGCTTCTGAATTGTGATGAAAAGAAATGGTATATGTTTGCTTCTAGCAGAGAGAGTAAATATAAGCACATTTAAAACAGCTCCAACATTATGACTACTTATGACACTATGAACATGCCCCTTAAGAAAAATATAAATACCTCCCCAACGAAACTCAACCAATGTGACAAGTGTGATAAATTTGAATGCACGTCAGGTAAACTAATAAGGAAGAATCAAAGCTAATCTAAAGATAAAAAGTTCATATAGCAGAACGAAAACATAAAAGGTATGGAAAGGTCCAAATGAAATACCTGTCTTTAAGCAATGTCTTTGCATTCTCTCAATTTTTTTGCAATGTGATCAAAGCCATTAAGAATTTATACGTGGCTCAGTGTCTCTTTGGACAGCAAAAACCTTAGCCACACAACCAAGGCAATCCCTTCTTCTACAACACATGTTTTTAATTAAGAAAGAATGCCAGGATGAAGGAGATCTTACAAGTTCAATAAGCTGAGAGCATTCAACTTTTGGAAGTGGGGGAAAGGGTTAAGCTTTTTATTGTAAACTTCACATGTTTTATGTTAATGTAACTCTTTAAGACCTTTCTTGCCTTTATGATCATGTCTTTTGACAGGAAAGGGAGTATTTGTTTTGTCTGATTTTAACTCTCAGGGAAGCAAGCTAGAACTATCAAAAAGTGTCTACTCTTTATTCTGACCTCTGGCCTTCCAAAAGGAGCAGTTAAGGCACGATGCATTTTTCAGAGAATGGAAGTATGAGATTTCCTAACTAATGGAAAACTCTTACCTGGGTAATCATTCTTGTCTACGTCTGAGTCTCCTCTTAGAGTGAAGCCAAATCCTGAAGGCATGGACTGTGAGGCCCAGGCTCCACTGAGAACCTGAGAAGGGTTAGTATTTAACCCATTACTGTATCCATTGTAAATGAGCACTTTCCCTCTTCTATCTTCTCCTGCAAATGGTGCACCAATAGCAATGTCTGCAGTGCAACAGAAGAATAAAGAGAATGGTCACAATTAAAACAAAGCAAAAAATTAAGTCCTTGCAGGAAAAGAGATGTAGCTTCCGCTACATACATGCAAGAACGTCAGTGTTCTGCACTTATGTGTGAATTCTAGTTCTAAGAAAAATATACAAAGATGATTGCAGTGCCTCTTCTGTGTCAAACTTTCATGACAAAAGCTTATAAAATCATCCTATGAAGGGGTAATTGAATTATACTAAAGAGCCAGTCCACACTGGATTCCTCTACCGTATTTGCAATGCATTTTATAAGCTTTAATAAAGCAAGATCTAGTGAATACTTGGTTCTACTTCCATATTTTTAAACAGATAGAAAATTTCTTTAATTTCCCCTATTACTTTATCAATAAGGAATGGCCATCAGATAAAATTAATTTTCTTTTTCCAGATTGAATATTCAACATAGACAAAACCCTCCTCTCCTCAAATATTCAGTGCTTTAGTCAGCAAAAGTGAACAATGGAATATGATGTTTTCATCTATACCAAGACAACATCTTATTGAGAAATGGGAATACTACTGGGTCAGGAATTTAACAGGAGGCCTTGTAATTAAGTACTGCAATCCTTAGAAAATGAGGTGCCATATCCAAGAAACAGAACTCACAATGCTTTTCTGTTCCTACATATGGGACGTGTGGAGAATCATGCGTCTAGTCTGAGATTCAACAGCCACACTAGCTGGGCTAGCCAGTAGGAAACACTAGAGGAGGATATGGATCTACAGTTCTTATTTTTCGGTTCTCATTTACGAGCTGATGCTGGACTCCTTTATTCAACTTGCCTTCAGCACCTGGAATTTGTACCTTCACTCTAAAGGCAGTAGTGCACTAAACCTCTATGACTGGCATCTTCAGCTATGAAGCAGAAGACTTTGACTCTAGAATCTTCTTACTATTCTCTGTACAGTGAGAGAGAAAAGCAGGAATGTCTTCTCCCTTCCTTACCAGAATGCTGGAGAGCAGGGATACCAACCTTCCCTGCTCAGTGAAGCTAAAAGCATCCCCAATTGCTCGCAGGTAGAAAACAGGAAGTTTCCACCACGGGGTCCAGCTGGGCTGAACTCCATGGTGGAATTCCAGGACAATCCATTGAGGGTACTCTCAGCAGTGACAGTACAGTGGCTTCTACCCACAGGACAGTATTCACATTTTGTGCACCCTGAACATGCAATCCCATGGCTCCTGACATGATCTATCCCTTGCACAGGGGCCACACATTAGTGACATGCCCCCAGAGCCTACTGGCTAGAGCACTGTGGCTACTGCCCTCAAGTTAAGAAGGAGTTAAGTCCATTAATTTCTAGTTAGTGGGCCAATGTTTAAGGCTTTAATGAGGTATTTTACCTCCTCTAGGAAAAACTCCTTGGCGTTTTAGATGCAAAGATGCCTGCTCTGCAGATTCCTAACATCCCAGATATAAGTAAGGAAATGCATGCAGGGAAAACCAAGGTGCTACTGACTACGTCTAGGAAGCTAACTCAAGGTGCTCAAGACATTCAGGCTATCTCGGATAATTAAGCAAGTTAGATTACTTAGACTATTTTCTTCATTTTAGACTCACAGTTAACTTACGTGAATGTTTTGTTGTGTGCATGTGCTATATACATTTAGAAACGGTCCTGTTAAGCACCTATTTCTTTCAGTGTCTAAGTACCAATGGAACTCTGATACCAAAATAGTACATCTGTACTTGTCCAGTTCTTTCACTGTGGGTAAAATGCTCCATTTACTGAACCGCATTAAATTCTTAGTCATCCAAGCATTTGAGGAGAGATGGAGAACTCTGCTTTTAAATAAATGCAACATCTTAACTAAGTATTTAAATGTAACTATAGTCACAGAGCAACAAATAATACTTTTATTCAAAAGAAGCCACACTAATATTTAGTAAAAAATAGGACTGTAGTCAGTATGACCGCCCTCTTATAAGTAAGCTTTCCATCGTTTGGCCCTCAATACCAGTTTTGTTACGATTAATGTAAATTCTTGTGCTCTTCAAAGGCAGTTGCACGTTAAAAAGCCTTTTTCAGCTACTGCATAGACATGTTATATTCACTGCTTCACCATTTTTAATTTCAGTACTACACAGAGAGACATATTACAACACTACATACAAATTACCATTATATCCATCTTGATTGAGATCTCCAAGGTGCGTGATTGCACTGCCAAATCTACCAAACACTTCAGTGCCTGTCAGAATTTGTGCATCTCTGAAGAAGAAAGCACTTTCTTGCATGTATAGATAAACTTGCCCAACTTCTTTAGGCTTGCTCTCAAATTCTCGTTCCATAAAGAGAGGGGCTCCAACTAAGATATCATCTAAACTGGAACAGTGAAACAAAAAACAGTGTCACTGTTTGAGTGCAATCAATATAATTCATGCATATGTTAAACAGGAAGCTGATAATTACCATAGTCATAGACCAACTGAGGTAAGTCGGCACTTCTGGTGTTCTAGTTCAAACACGTGGTCAACAACTAGCATTGTGCTCACTTCAGTTTTGAGTATTTCCAGGGATGAAGACTCCACAGCCTCTCTGGGTAAGTGCTTCCAGTGTTTGATTACCCTCACAGCAGAAACATTTCTTACTAGGTTTAAACAGAATTTCTTGCACCTCAGTTTATGTCCAAAATAGACACTGAAAGCTGTACTTTGCAGTTAATGACCCAGAAGTCAGAAAGCTAAGAGAGGATCCATCTTAATAAAACAAATTCGGTAGAACTATCTTGCTAACAGTGCTAGTGAGAGACAAATTTTAGTATAAAATCAAGCGACATTGACAGACACATAACAAGCAGAAATATCAACAAATTATTCTGAGATATGAAATTACAGTATCAGATTAATTTTTGAAGATTGTTCAAGCCCATATAAACTAATAAAATAACTTCCATTATATTCAGTGGCAGTGGTCACCCACATTAAGGAACACTGTTACTGGAAACAACTAGTACTACTTGATCCCAGAATTTTTAATTTGGAAAACATATTCTCTTGTCCTAATGTGAAAGTTTGTCCAAATTTTGTAAAAGTTGTAGAAAACTTTGTACTTTCAATTCATCATATTCCCAGAAGTAATGTTTTCAGAAAGGCTTTATCAATTAGTAGACCAATTAGTAAAATTGCACTACATTGTTTTTCTCAATCCTGATAGAATAAAAAAAGGCATATGACTTAGGTATAGCTCAGCTACTACTTTACCATAGATATATACTATGGGTCAAAGATATATACCATAGAATTTAGTATAGAATATCTCACCAGGAAGACTTTTAATGACATTGTAGAACTTACGTATTCTATAAATTGTGAAAAAGTACTGCTAAAAATGTTATTTTTCTATTAGGGTTTATAATATGTTTCCATAAAGGAAACTGTAATTCAAAAGGTCAAGTCTCTTCGGTACAGTTGGGTCTATTCTTTATACATCATATTATACTCCATGGCATGAATTAACTGAAAAAGGAAGGAAGCAGATGCTGACTTGACATCAAAGGTGGGATTTTCCTTTCACACCAAACATCAAAAGTTCTCCTCTACTAATGCAAGATATTCATGGTTGGGACAGAATGTCAGCCGAAACAGTTGCCATGAAACAATAGCAACAACAAAACCAGATCATAAATGCCATGTACTAAAAGCATTATGCATAGCACAATAATTAATTATTACTCTATGAGATTGCAGTCCAGATATTCCCAGTAAGATTATGGCATTATGTGCTATATAAACCATGAAGTAAGAGATGAGCTTGGCTCCAATGAATATTTTAAAAATGAAGGATTGTTAAGATTAAGGTAAGATTTTTTTAGAGGCAGTAAGCAGCTAGGAAGCTTCCCAGCACATCAATGTAAAATAAGCAGATACCCAGATAGCTTTAATATTCTAGGCCACAGAACAATATCCAGAGTGAGATACAGTCAGATATGGTGAGAACAGAGTCAGACTATCTATTATCTGCAGTGGCCTAAAATTCTCTAAGCAGAAGCCTAACCCAGAATACAAGATTCACCAGGTGAGACAGAAAGCAAGCAGACAGGAGGTGGTGTCGGTTGCGCAGGGATCACTGCACCTCAGCTGGAAGTGCACGATGCTGGATTATTTTTCTAGGAAAATTTCTTCTTTGCTGAAATAACTGATAGTGATCACATAAAATGCATTAATAGTCCAGGGAGAAGGGACAAGAACTCAGTGGCTAAGAGCGCTTGTCTTCCAGTGTGCTGAGGGAAAGGCAGGAGGAAGGCAGTCATCAAAATTGTGTTTCTAAACTGGTTACAGGCAGCAGAGCTTCTTGAAATAGCTGCAGCACATAGTTTGCCTTCCCTCCAGGTCTTGGCATGTCCCACCCAAATCCTTCCTTTCCTCATTGTCTTGATGTCCTCCCTTCTCAGTTTTACCTTCCAGCTCCTATAGTTTATTTAGACACTGAGGAATCAAGGGAGGTCCCTTGTTAAGAGTACCTATGTGATTAGAATTACGCATTTTTCTTGGTGAAGGAGGATGTTTCAATTGACTTTTAAATTCCAGAAGTTAATATTTACAAAATCATAGTTCTGATCCCTTTTAAAAGGCGGTAAGAGCAAAGCAAAAGCCCCTGGACAGTAACATTGAACCACAAAGTGTAGTTCAGTTTGCAGGGGCATTCTGAACTAGCTCATTTGATTTATTTCATTACTGCACTAAGGTGTTTCAGCTAACATAAACTATATATTTGTCTTTGTTCCAGCACAGAAAGGTAACCATCCAGTTCCGTTTCCCTTCTGATTAAAAAAAAAAATTTAAAAAGCACAAGCTGACCACTTGCTGAGACTGTATGCAGTTTCTTTGTGTCCTGCCAAGTAATAAAAAGCAGGAGTACGGGAAATGGTCAAAATGTCAAAGTGTATCTATAGGAAGATTTTATATAGGCCAAATAAAAGACCAGTAAACAGTTTATTCTACTATTTTTATTGGACTGTTTCAGTCCAATTTGAAAGTGTTCTCCTTTTTGCTCTTTACAAGGAATGTAGTCTGTAAGGTGATGTCAAAGCTTACGCTTCATTGTAGAGTTCTCATTAGCAGTGGGCAACTAAACAGTAGTTCAAACAATATCCTCAATTTCCCCGTTCTGCCTACAGTCCTGATGTGGTGCAGATAATACTGCAAGAGTCACCCTGGAACACCTGCAGAGCTGCTGCAGTAGAAGGTCTACAGAGCTTTTTTTCTTAGGATAAGCTTAATCTTTGAGAAATGCCTTCACTCTTACTACCACAAAGTATCATCCTTATTCCTTTTGCCATATAACTTCATCAGGTTTCTTGTACCGATAAGGACATCACTACCTCCTTTATGCTGAGCTGCACACATAAAAAAAGTGAATTTGAAGCAGACATTTCCCTTGTGCTTTTTTCTTCCTCTCTCTGTTTTACTCTCCCTTTCAGAAAAATATTTCAATTGACTATATGTGAAAACCAGCAAGAACAGCCTACATACCTAATCACATACGTTTATCAAGTAGAGCTTTTTGTGTTTTGTTTTCTCTGGGATGTTTGGGTCTCAGAGAGAGTCATTAGATTTCATTTAAGATATAGACTGGGAGACCACACAAGCATCAGCAGCAGTTTGATTATATTATTGACATAAACTGTGGTCTTAGAGGTACACATATGAGACCTGCCAAGTAACCCTGCGGTTCACAGGAAATAACCTGCACAGGAAATAGTTTGTTTCAGTGAGAAGCTAAATAGCACGCTCCCTGAAAGTCTAATGAGTGTCTATTGTATCTTAAACTAATGTTTCTTCACCCTTTCACATCAGTAATGCATTACAGTAGGACTAAATCAATCCTGACTCTGGATATCATAAAAATAGGAATCTTCAAAAGATATGGTTCTACGACAAAATTTGACCTCAGAAATGTGGAAAGATTTGAGTACTATGAAGCCATCACACAAACTGTCAAAGCTTCTTTTTCATTTATTTTTGCTTTCGAACTGCAATAACCTTTTATCATCTCGTAACTTTTCTCTTTTCTTGTATCCCTCACTCTTTAAAGGCTCAGTAGTCCTTGATGGGAAGCAATGATTCAGCCCAGAAAAATTATTAATTCACTATCTTTAAGCACCTAATAAGAAATAATCACAAGAAAATAATATGAAGTAGAGACGTGAGATATTTTGCAACAGGCAAGAGTATGCCACAGCTCTAAATATAATCCTGGCTCATCTTTGTGCAGACTTCCAAGGCTTTGAGCTTCAGGGATCTTTATTTTCTTGCTAGAAAGCTAATATTAATATTCACTTAATAAAGTCCTGATTTTCTAAAATGTTTAATCAGACTTTACATGAGCTCAAAGTTATCAAGCATTTTGTGCAACAGGGCATGAAATCCCCAAGTGTCTTAGGCATGACCCTGGAAGCTGAGCAGCATTCTCCCTCCGATAAGCCCAATGCCTGTCCTAACAACTATGGGCCATGGACACTTCTTGGCCCTCTGGATGATGAAAATAGATGGCCAGCCAGCAAGTGCTGGAATGAGGGGCTGATGATATTGGAAAACCCTTAAAATTGAGAAGTGAAACTCTAGATTGTCCACAGGTGAGAAGACTTACCTGCTTTTGAGAATAGGAGAACGAACTTTTAACTTTCACCTAACTCTTTCCAGCAGGAGCTGGCATTGTTTATTCATTGTTTTTCTACCTGGATCTGTTTCCTAAGACTTTGGACATGTCTGCTCTGCCACACTGCTTTGAGTAAATATTCAGGAAGATAAAACCATGAAATTAGGCCTGCAAATACTTGTGCCACAGTGATTGAATGAAGATAAGTCTACATGAACAATTAAAATTAAAAAAGCAGAGAAGCCAAAAGAAGCATTTTGAGGTATGAAGCACCTGAAACCCTATGTTTCTTAATAAATATCAGGCATTGCTTCTAAAAATGTTCAGTGGAGCTGAATATATTTGGTAACCTACCCATCATTGTTAACATCAGATACTGCAACAGTGTACCCAAAATAAGACGCCATCTGGAAATAAAAAACAACAGACAGGCTTTCATATCACGTATCAATTTGTAATTTGTTTTTACTGACAATCCTTTTTGTTTCTATGGTCATTGATTCTAAAAATATTTAATATATTCTTGAAACTATGTTAATAAAATTATATCCTCCAGAGATAAAATATTTCATCACGTAGTTGCTTGACATTACCTGTTCACCAGTGAAGTTCTGAATAAAGGTCAAGTCTGAAGAATTAATAATTGAGACCTGGTAAAAGAAAAATACAGATATTTCAAGCACACATGGAGATGCTACAGCATAACACCACTGCAAACCAATTTGACACACTGAAGGATGGTCCAATTGTCTGAGAAAAACCAATTATTTTCTGTCTCATCACAGTTTTCCTGTATTATCTTGAATAAATCACTAAGATTTTATAAGTCTCTGGTCCACCGTGAATAAAATGGAAAAAAGACCATTTTCCTTCCTCACTGGGCACTGAACAGCAGCAAGTCGCAGACTACCAGCTAATCTGTGGCAACATTACTAGGCATGAAAACATGAATTTAAAACATAAAGAAATATACACATACATACATAAACATATATACATACACATCTTTCTTCTGAAAAAAGGTATAATTTCCAGAGATTAAACTAAATTTGTGTCTACAAAACCAGAGAAGGCTGGGATCTCTGTTTCCCAGTTAGGTTAGTTCTGAAACTTTTTTGTCCTATGAGGCAAAAATCTGTATCCACACATGTATATCATTTTCTCCCTTTACTTCTAACTGCCTATCATGCCTCTTCTTATATGATGTTCAGTGTACATACTTAGAGCACTCAAAACAACGACGAGGTATCAATAATCTGAACTTGGACTTCCCTCCACTGTGGACACAGCATTGCACATGGAATATTCAAAGCTCAAACCAGTAAGGCATTTCAATCCAGCCAGGTAAGCCTGAAGGTGAAAGTCAGTGGGAGTTTTCTCTGATGAGAAAGTTTAGAATCAAAGAGATGGAAAATATAATGTAGCCTTCAACCTTCCAAATAGCCTAATTGCTTTCTCACTATAAAAAAAGATGAAATGCAGGTCCAGTACGTACATAGCCAAAGTTCTGCGCTCCCCTTGGGACTCCAGCAACCAGCTCTGAAAGGACAAATGATCAACAAGGAACTGGTTATACCATCCAAGTGGTGCACGGAAACATGTATCCCATGCCTCTTAAATCTTCCTTGATATATAATCCTTAGGATTTTCATTTGTTATCTATATCAGAGGCATTTGCAATCACTTCAAGACATTACTTCTTAACATTTTAACAGTCATTCAGTGTATCTAATTGCATGACACGTTACATTTTAACTGTTGAACACACTCACCCAGAGACCTCTGTTCTCCCAGAATTCCTTAGCATAGCACAGTATAATAAAGCTCTTAGTATAATTCAGCTTGTTACCTGACAGCTGTGGATTGATGGAACCAGAATTAGTTGTGGCATCACACACTAGAGTACAGAAGCTAAACACAGCTGTCTGTATAAATACTGCTTTTCCTTCCGGTTGCACAACAGTTTGTCTCATCTCTTACTTGACTTGGTGCCATGAAAGTTCTGCGCAGGCTATTGAAAACCACTCCAAGAAAATTTTTATGAGTAGCATTGGAGGGACCCATTGAACAAGAGCGCGAAACATTAAACCTAGCTGCCTTCTAGGTTGTAGTTCTGCTCAATGGCAAAATCTTAAAAAGCTAGTGGGAAAAATGGGAGAAAAAAAGAAGAAAAAAGGAAAGACAGCATACAGTCTTACTGTCTAAAACTTTCCTCATTAGGACATCCACATCAGAAAACAGCAGCAGGAACTTCAGATACCAGAGTACCTCAAGACACCTGCCTGGTCTGACCGAGCATTCCCCTGTTTCTCTCTGGGTTTATATCCTGCCCTGAGGTTAACTATGTTTGATTAAGGGGAGAGGGAAGTAGTAAGGAAGGATTGAGAAGGACACAGGACAACTCTCAGGTCAGCCAACAATACATTTCTTTGTGCCAACTATTCCACATCCCATACTGATTCAGGAATCGTCCATTATTAAAATGTAAATATGAATTTAAGAAAAAAATAATAAATATATATCTATATCTATATATCTCTATATATCTGTGGCTATAGCCTTCCTTTACCAGGGACATATCTTTTTTTCCCCACATTATAGCATTCAGCTCCAATTTATTATTATTTTTTAACTCATAGTGGCATAAAACAGGAAAACTCTAGCTCTATAGTGATTAAGCAGTAGCAGTTCTGAGGAGCTGGGTTCATTTCTATAAATGTACTATGTCTCTATTGGCTTTGTGAGTCTGGACCATGGACCTGTTCACCCCTTCAAGAAAGTCAGCTTTAAGTAATACTTTGTGACAGACTGCCACCCTTACTCAAGAAACATAGCTCTTTGGGCATGAAACACCAGGGATTACAGATATTTTCAGCTAACTATATGTTTTGAAATCCTACACAATTTCAGAACACCTGAAAATAGTTAAATCATGGACAAATTTCTATTTATAACTGATTATTTTTAACATACTCTACCAAACAGACAGCCATTACAGGAGCTTTTCTTCTACACTGGATTCAGTTTGCAGAGACACAGGACAACTAGTGTTCAATTTCTAACACTGCCACAAAACTTTACAACTTAAAAATCAGACAACCCTCAGCTTGTTTTTAGTTATTCTGCCACTGCACTTTGTGCTATGAGTTCAGCACATCGATTAAGTGATGTTTAAGTCTTGTTGATAGTTAAAGCCTCAGTGGTGTTCCAGGAACTAACACTGGTAACCTATCCTCTGCAGGATGGATTGCTTTGACTTTGTCCATAGAGAAATGCAGGACTATGTTGCTGGAGCTGCGATCTTCCAGCACAGTTTCCCGGCCATATGAAACTATTAAATATCCTGTGTCAGCTAATAAACTGCCCCAGGCACTCCATCCTTAAAGCACATGAACCCAAATTAGAGCCAAGATCTGCTTTCACCAACAAGAGCTAGCAAGCTGGTGTAGACATGCCTTAGTCCAGAGCAGCTGCACGTTATCTCCCAGCCCAGGCTGTGACGTTTACGTGGCGGTCAGAAGTGTGCTTTCAGCATACACAGACATTTTCGAGCTATGCTGCATCTGGCCAGCTGAATGCTGAGATCCAGCAGTCACTGTGCAGGTGAGTAACTTGAGCACAGACTGAAAGACTGCACAGGCCTGCACTGTTGGCTCCCCTTGTTGCCACTGATCACCAAAGCAGCTAAACACAGTGAGCCTGGTTGGCTCCAGATAGCACACTGTCACAGCTCTAACTGCTGAACAGATGCATGGGCACGATAGCAGAACAACAGATTCAGACTTTTGGGTTACTTTTCAGTTATGTAACAGTTCTGCTGTTATGCTGTACCTTCTAAGAAAATATTTGCCTCTGAGAATGTGTTTCAGATGTATAAGAGGTACGTTCCCGTATAGAGATCCAAAATGAGGAATTTAATAGGTGCACAGTCATATAGTTTCAAGCGTACAGCTTCTTACCTTGTTCAGAATCCCCAGTAAATTCTCCAGCAGCCACTGAGTACCCTATTTAAAGAAAAATTGCAAGCAAAATACTTGATGAACCATTTCTTTCAAAAAATACGCAAGGGCAATCAGATTTTTCTGTTCATCTGACCAAGAATGCATTTTTTTTTTAACATTAGTATACTAAAACTGTGTGGAAAAAACCAAAACTGTTTATCACATTATTGTGACTGAATTAACCGTAGGTCTGAATGTACAATAAATCTATCTCTTGTCTCCAGAAAGAAGATATTAAACCATTAATACTTAATAATTTATCTGAAAAGTCAGCAGGTACTACAATGGTTTGCCCTGACAGCTATTTACACAATTTAGGTCTTCATTACCATATTATAATGTGTGAGTACCCTGTTTTAACTCTATACGGAAGACTGATTTCTGAAGATGCAAGTTCAGTACCCCCTGGAGCTTTAGTAAACCTGTGAGATAATCGCTATTGACAGAGTAATGACTTTTGGATTGTATCAGGGGCTGAACTTACAAACCTTGAACTTACACACCTAAGAGCAGAGGTGAAAAGATGCACCTTTGCCTTCAAATTCCATTGCTTCTTTTCTGTAATTATGTGAAGCAAAATCTGTCTTACACTCAGAGATGCATGAACATCATGCAAATACTTAGACATAAGTACTAATAAAAGGCACATAAAGAGTCTTTTTTCTGTTTATTACATAATATCTTCAAACTTACTTTTGTTACTGCTTCCTTCAATTGTATCTTTTAAATATCAGTGAGAATAAATTGGGTATTTGTGTAGTACTGTATAAAATACTGTAGAACTGTACTTTATCTATTAAAAACTGAAATAGTCTTTATTTACTTTAAACTCAAACCATCATCTTGGAATGAAGAAATATATAAATGAGAACATTTCGTATTTCTGCTTAATTATTTAAGATCAGTTAATAAGAACTCTAATGAGCCATTCAAGGTCTCAACCTTCAGACTCTGTTGCTATGCATAATTTTAAGAATGTTCACAATCCCACTGAAGTAAATACCAAACTACTGATCTGTGGTTATGCTTAGTTCAAAACATATTTAAATCCTCTCACAACTGGGACATTAGTAAATTAGGGCTTGTTTTCAGATTTGTGCAAGATCTACGCTTTAAGAACTCATGGCTAACTGACAAAGAATTTAGCTTACCCATGTAATTGTCATCATAAGAGGGTGGTGCCACTCCTGTTTGCTTCTCTCGTGCAAGTTTCCTCAGAATATCCTTGAAGGAATAATTTGCAATGATATCCGCAATACTTGCAGTGATTACCTGACCTGGATTTAAACAGCTTCATAAATGAAAGGGACATAAAGGAGAGCCAGCTTCTACAAAACAGGGCTAGCAGAGCATCGGAACAGAGCTAAAGGGATAATATAGCACAGATGCAAAGAGTAGATGACTTCTCTCAATCTCACTCCATTAGTACTCTGAAAGTCTTAGGAACATATATAAACCAATAAAACAGACATTGAGATTCTATTGAATCATCACAAAAACATTTCCAGACCATTTCAAGGTTCTAATTCAAACTAAAGACAAACATTTTCAGGCTCAGCTGCCTTTTGATGCCGTAAAGTATAAATGCAGCTGACTAATAGAAGCAATTTCTCAAAGGAGAATTCCAAGCTATGAAGTCCCTACCATCATTACCAACTAGATCTTCCTCCTTTAATTGCAATGCAAAAACAGATATCAAGGAGGACAACTTGGTAGGCAGAGTCTGGGAAGCAGCTATATCAAAACTGGTTAAAGCAAAAATACCCCTTTAACCCTTTACAAAAAAACACTTCTCGTTTTATCTATGAGAAATTAAATCTTGGAACTACAGTGATGTCACAAACAAACTAAAATGTATGCAAATAGCGATAAAAGGCTGTGTTCAGAAAGATGTAGTGACAAAAACTTTGAAAATATTACATTTGCTGTACAAATATTATATATTTATAAAATCTCAGTATTTTCTAGGGAAAAAGAAGTCAGCTTATTAATTACATGACAAATGTGCTAAAATGCCAACACATAGTTATTTCTGTTTCGCTTCCTAGACAACCCATATCCTGAATTTTCCCCGTCTTATTTTTGTGCTCAATTGCTTGTTAAGAAATTTTTCTGATTTATATTTTTTGAAAATAAAACCAGAGACTGGTTATCTGAAACTGGGAAAACAATGGAAACCTAGAACATTTTCCATAATACTTTCTGCTTCACCTCTTAGATCAAGTTAAAGAGCTAGATGAACATACCTTGCCAATAAAAACTCCCAGGCCCACCTACTATCAGGTCTCCATTCTACAAAAAGCAGAATTGAATAAAATTATACAACAAAATCAAGGATTCACAGGAAAAACAATTCAAATTACTAAAAGAATGTCAGAATCATGATAAAGGAGAAACAGCCCTGTTCAAAGAAAGGATGTAGGTGCGTAGATGTGCAGGAAAAATCACAGTTAAATAAAGTTGAGATGACCCTAATGCATCTTCACTTGAATGAAAACCCTATTTTTTTTTAGCACTAACACAGCATTCTAACAATTCCAGATTACTTGTAACAAAACAAAGTCAGCATAAAAGAGGCCTTTGTGTTCAATAAAGAAAGAGTAATGTTTTATAGACAAATATACTTTTTTCTGCCCTACGATGAGATCTTTAATCCTCAGCTATTAATAATGTGAATAACTATGTAGAATCATAGAATGGCTTGGCTTGGAAGGGACCTTAAAGATTACCTAGTTCCAATCCCCTGTCATAATGTAGCCATGTGGCTACTGAAAAAAATGTCAATGATCAAAGTTATGCAAGGTCCTGGTGCTGTAATAAGAGCACAGATAATAACAGCAGTTGCAAAGTTTAATCTTTGGCCCACAGTATTGTTTCTGAATCCTTCGGGCATGTAAGAACAACTAGTTATTTCCCTCAAGCACTTTCCCTTTCAGCTCCACAAGAGAAGTCTTACTCAATGACTAGTCTCCAAAAACCTCCTTATACAAGTTATTTTAACTTTATAAAACTAGCTAGTGCTTGTCCACTATTTCCTGAAAGTCAGGCCGCTGGAAAGCATCACAAGTGGGACACACTGAGACAGAAGCACATGCAGTTTTTTTTTTCTAATTATTTATTATGATAGACTAAGCGGTGTCATACTGGAGTGTTGCAAAGAGATAAACAGGTTCTGATTGCAGTAGGTCTTTTATTAATGAAACTAGAAAGTTCAAAGCTTGTAAAGGAGGAAAGAACTTGCAACAACTTCATGAAACTTTCTATATACAACAGCATGAGGATAAACTCTTGATCACTGAAACAGTGCTTGAACGCTGGGGATGATGTATCAGAACTACATTTGGTCAAAGTATTTCAGAAGAAGAATCTCACCTTGTAGAAATCTAAGCTGAAACCTGCTTGACAAAAGCCTTGTCCCTCAGGATCTGCATTGCCTGAAATTATGAAGGTAGCAAAATTTTATTGGTTTCACAGTGCATGTGGAAGACAGCTTACACACCCCTGGAGCTCTAAAACCACCAAAATATGTGCAAAGATGTGTATTCTTTTTTAGAAGAGGCAGAGCAAATCAAGACCTTCCACTGAACCCTGCCTATGTAGCTCCCTTGTGAAGATTTTGAAAAATGGAACCAGTTACTTGGGAATTCTTTCTCTCCCTGCCAAGGAAGGACCCTTTCAACAACTACCAGCGATTCAGCTTGAATTTGTCCAGAGATGCAAAAGTAAACAACTTAACAAAAAGTACTACAATGGTCACCACAGTCTGGTCTGCCATAAAAACAAAAAATAAGTGTTTACTAAGGCATTTTCAAAAATGTTCACACAGGGGATAGGTTGGCATGGGTCAATGTTAAGACAACATCCTAGTTACTTGTACCCTGACAAGGGAAAGCAGCACATGTCCTTGACAAGGGTAAGCCCTTTAATTGATACACATTTGCTCAAGGAGGACTGAAGTGTAACAGAAACACATCCTTCTTGCTTCTGTCCATTTTTATTTCTAGTCTCCAAATCTTTATATAATTGTACAAAGTGTGTGGGCTTTGCTATGAGCACTGGAGCACTGGAAGTTTGCAGGACTGGGAAACTGAGAGCAAGAATGGCCACTTGCACTGTCTTTTCAAATTGCAAAGTGCCATTGAGACATCAGACATACATGAAGCAGATCCTATGGTCACCATTTCTTACAGATTCAGCTTTTTTTCTGAACCTGTCCATCCAGGGACAGGGATTAGGCTTTAAAAGAAAGACTTGACTGCACAACTCAGTTTAGAGCTATACTACAGTGTGAGAAAAAGAAAGCCCCAGAGTGACACTGAATGTACATGCAAATATCTCATGTCGCTATAGGTGTGCAGATTTTCTGGTAGACCATGAAAAGTGTAATCAGGCTACGTTGTCACACATCTGTCAGATGTCAGGAAAATCAAGCTACGTGATATGAAGCTGTCTCTAGACCCTCACAGGAAAGAGACCTTTTAATTATAAGAAGTGTCTGCATTTTCTGTAAAATGCCTTTTACTTTCTTGGCGAGATAACTCATGAGTTTAGGAGCACAGTTTGCAGAAGAGGAACACTTAAAATATGTGTTTTGAAATTAGCCCGTGCTAGCTGTATTAGCAGGGTCCCTGTAGAAGGGATATCGTGAGGAGGAACTACATTCAGACATCTCATGCTATTGGCTAGCACACACTACTTGAAACAGCTACCCATCCCAGCTAAACTGAACATAATAGCTTTGCTGTGAGGGTTTCCCCTGGAAAGGATACATAAGCCCATCATATTTGCTGTCTTACACAAGTCACCTTTAGAAAAATAACTGAAAGAACGATTCTCTAATCGGTGAGTGCAGAAACTGCCATGCATCCAGCCCAGTCCAAAGCTCAGTGAAGTCACTCAACATTTCATATTGTTTTTAACAATTTGGAGCACCAAGGTAATGAGAGTATTAGAATCGTCATAAACACTTAAGACACAGGATGCTGAATAGGATGAACAATTGGTTTAATCTAATGTGTGGCATTCTCTGCTGTTGTCTACATAACTGAACTTGGTTCTAAATACATGTGCACTATTTCTCCCTATTCCCCAAGAAGTAAGGCTCAGAGATTGCTATCACATCCTCAGAACAGCACAGAGTGTGGAACAGCAGTACTGATGTGTATGGCCTTCTGTGCTGGAAGTCTTCAGAAAAGAAATGAGCTATTGTGGCTGATATTGGCATGAATGGTGATACACGTTTGTGTGTTTCTGTGCTGGGTCTGGTCTTCATATGGTGATCTTGTGATGAGAGATTTATGCTCAGCATGAGCATGAGTAATTAGTTTAAAATGCTATCTGGTTCTTATCTAGATCTGTTTGCTACATTTTAAAGCCATTTAAGTTGAACCAATTAAACCTCATCACTATAACTGTATAAGTTTAATTTACTTTATTTCTTCTCTTTCAATTACAGAATAAAGCATCCAATTGCACGTATATAATTTAATGTCTATTTTTATTTAAACCCTCATCCAATGCAATAATGTAATAGAGTAATCTTCACTCAACCAAGACTGTGTGAAGACTGAAAGGAACAAAAATTGAGGGCAATATCAATTTTCCCAACAAAAGATTGTTCCTATTAATACTTACTGTTGCGACAAGGTGAATACTCAGCATAGGCACTGAAGTTCTGAATTGCTACATAGCAGGTGCCAACGGGGTCCTTCTCAGGGCTATCTTTAAGGGTTCTCCAATGATATAAGGGAGCACAAGCCTATCAAAACAGAAATGATGTCTCACATACTGTTCACATACTCACGCATCTGGCCAATGTAGTTTTTACCAGTGTACAAAGTGTTCTTTCTGGTGTTGTATCACTCATGCAGCAATGATCATTAAAATGATCACATTGACAAAAGAATATGCAGGACCCTTCCTTCTTATAATTTCATTATAACCAGAAAAGCATAGTTTGATGTTTCGCTTACAGGCCTTAGCAGGTGAAATCTGTCAGGGACTACAACCCACATCTAAGTATATGTTAGAAATGCCCTCTAAGCCTGCTTCACAAGTAATATATTTGCTCTACTACTTCTCACTGCACAGGACTTGATCTCATAGTTTAAGATGTAGATCACATACATGTGGCTGAAGACATTCCTACTTCTGTCCTGATGCATCTTAAGATAAGGGCCGTTGCAGTAGGACTGCTATGATTCTAAAAATATTTGGCTAGTGAACTAAAATTTAATCTCCCAAGTTACGGCAGTGGTGTTACCAACTTGACAGTGTAAGGATAAAATATACACAAGATGTGTAGAGAGAGAGATTATCACCTTTTCTGAAAGCAACTCAAACAATTGTAAAATAGAAAAGATAAGCTGTCAGATACCCAAGTCATTCTTCAGTGGTTCCTGTGCCTTGAAACTTTTCACTGGTGGGGAGAAGACACTACCTCTTCCTACAAAATTGTCTCTGTAAGATGCAAATGAATCTTCCATCCATGTCCTACCTTGTCTTAATTTTCCAATCAGAACCCTGTCTACCTCTGGCAAGGCACTGTTATTACTCACATTACTTTATAACCCTCAGTTCTGCAATTGGTTCCAGCTGGACGAACCACTGTACTACTCAAGAGCTTACCATGACAGTGAGAGCTTCTGGAATGCTGGTTTAAGGACCAGGGACTTCTAACAGGTTCCTGCCTAGAAGACCTTACTGATTAAAACATATTAGAGAGCAAAACCAGAGGGCAGCAAAGCGGAATACGTGTTCTGTGAGGGTGATCTGAGGTACATATGACAGTGAGCACAGACTGAAACAAGAACTACATATAATCACAAACATTAATCTAATGCAGTTTACTATCACATACGTAGTTTTTTTTTAAAAATGTTTCTGGCAGTTTGGTTACATTTTCTTTTTCTCTCTTTTCATTCACAAAGCTTATAAAACAAAGTTTTCTAGCTTCATTTTTCAAGTTTTTGCCTGAAAAGTGTGACTGTATTGCTGTTTCAGAAAGCCTGAGAAGAGTTATCAGAAGCAAAACAAAGTTTGGTTGGTACAGACACAGCACATCAGGGACTGATGAGCTTTCCTGGCTCATTTGATTAAGATTCAGTAAACGGTTGTAAAGAAAGATTCTACTTCAGTTTGTGAATTGTTGTTTAGTAGAGAACCTAAAATGAAAAATTTTCAGCGATTTTTAGAATTTTTACATTGACAATTCAAAAAAGTGACATAATTTTATTCTTACAAATACTTCCTTTTTGTAGTTAACTTTTAAATAGAAAATGCATGTACAAAGGAGTGGTAAAGGTCCTGAATAGGAAGTTTGAACCCTATGATAACACAGACAATTAACAATGCATGCTAGCTCTGTAACAGAATAGGGTGACATTTTATTCAATACCTGTTTCATTCCAAAATCCTTCTCTAAATTAATCACAAGGCATACTATTTAAGGGAAAACATCTCCTTTAGATAGTTCTTCCATTATGATTGTTTCCTAAGTAATAATCAGATTTTTTAATCAAATCCAGAGACAAATTATTGTTTGCAATTCAGCAACATTTTCAACTTCAACCTTATGGCATAAATTGAAAATACGTTTGTCTGTAAGCAGCAACACCACTACTTTACTTGCCGGAGTCCTCTACCAATACAGGTAAAATACTCGGTGAAACTGTAAAACAGAGTTTGTACTTTGACAGCAAACTTGATTTGGAGCTTTTTTTATTATGACTTTTTTTTGCAGCTGTTTTACCATTACTGTGACAAATTTGTTAAAAACAACGCAAATGTGACAAAAGAGATCAGTGCTTTCTCTCACTAATTGATCTTCAGCACAGGTTTCTGGCTGCCATTACATTCTATGCTTAACATTCCAAATAAAATTTCATAATACAAAACATTTTATAGCTATTTTATAGCTATCAGTTACTGTGTATCTCTAAAATATGTCCACTATTTGTTTTTAAGAAATAATCATTCACTTCCATAATAATATGGCATTCTGCTATTTTCACATGGCAGCAAGATCATCTTTACTTGATCAGTTCAACCTGATTTTACAGACTGCTTTCATTTTCTGAGTTACATATATCATTTGTTTTATAACGCATGCACAATCATAGAGTTGTTTTCATAATATATACAGACAGCTACTGAAGATATACACTTGAGAAAAATAAACATTATCTCTAGAAGAATACCAAATGCATAAGACTTACCACAACCTTTCCTTTATGAGCTTTGACTGTTGCCCCAAACCACTGGTTTGTCTTAAACTCAATAGGTTCTCTGGTGCCATTGACTTTAATTTTCCTGTTGTCTGACAAAGAAAGAAGCAGTATGTTCACAGCTTATTTTTAAAAGTATTACCCTGTGAACTACATATATAAGTGAGAAACTAATGGGTATATTACATTCTATCTACTGTCATTGTCCTACTAGCTTAATAGGAAATTGATGTTCTAGTATCATTTAAGCTTTCCACTGACCAGTGGAAAACAACTTAAATTCACATGTGAAAATACAAAAAATAATTGCACTTAAACTTCAGGAAAAAATGCATAGGACTGGAAGAAGAAAGACTGTGTTTCCTACCCCCTCAAAAAAAAAAGTTTCCCCAGAATTTATGATGAAGAATGAACAAGAATCTACAAAAATAGGTGAAAAGGTCTAAAAAGTTTTGTCATATGTGGTAGAAATTTTCCATGTAAAAAGCATATTCCTTAATTAGTTGTTATCAAACAAATGACATTTCTCAGCACACTTATTCAAAGACCAATCCTACAGATAGCAAAGGACTCAGTTTTTAACAGAATTACACGTGTACACACTGTCACAAGAGACAGCTTCTTAATGTTGCTTTATATACACTCTTGCAGATGTCAGCATAAGAGAAGCCATCTGGGAAAAAAATCAGACCAATTATAATGCATTTCAGGTTTTAATAAAAAGCAGACATCCCTTCCTTTACACTCAGTCTCTGAAGTAAACTGATTTCCCATATGTTCATGAGCCACACTCTTCCCTTACCAGTCATTCCTAATGAACTTCTCGATTTATACATAAGCAGGGCATTACTCCTTCCCCCTTGTCTCTGCATTCCCTTGTTTGTTTCTGGCTCTTATCAGGAGGGATTTCATGAGAATCAATCCTTTTTATCCACTCTAAGTGAAAATAAAACTATATACTGTCTACCTTGGAATGCAGAATAAATTTAATGTCAGATTGTATTCTACGGACGTACATACTTTTTTTTACAAAATGAGAAAAAAATGCAACCAAGACTTTAAAAATCAACATTTCCTTGGATTTGTCCAAAAGGGATAGAGGAGATATCTGAATGTTTTTCTAGGATGTTAGATCATCAGTTATTCAGCTTGTGGTAACCTCATAAATGTTACAGATATAAACTGAATTAGAAAGTAAAATGCATCATATTTGGAGAATAAGGATACTCTGTGTTTTTTCTGATAAACATGAAGGAAAGTTGAATGAGAATGAATCTGTGAAAGTTTGAAAATCTCCAAGAAAATGTCTTCCTTTGCACAAAGATTTGCTTCCACACTGTGCCAATTACAGGAGCTAGTATGTAAATCCATGCTTAGAGAGACAAGAGAGAGAAATTTCAGAAATGTTTAGACTGTAAAAATTCAGGAAGAATAATTTAAAATCACTCTATTAAAAATAGACTTTATTTAACACAGGCCTAAACTTTAAGAGTGTGGGAGACAGCAACTTTGACACACAACATTGTAGGAGAGCCAGCTTCTACCTGGTTGTTGGCAACACTACTTTTGATTATTTCTTCCAGTGAAGTCAGACTCTTTCAAACTTTAAAGGTTTCTTTTTTCTTTCTTTAATGCTCCAGCAATTCTAATGTTCATGATCAATGTCCGCAGACAGAAACAAGGCTTTGAAGCTTCAAAATCAGCCACAATCAACTTAGAGCAGTCAATGTTACTCTGGTTCTGGGTATACTCACAACCTGTATTCTATCTTCAATCTAAACAGGCTACTTGTCTACTGGCAAACTATACTAAAATTTGCAAAGAAGTTAGGTTTTAAAACTAGGACAATTGTTTGCTGGATTTATAAAAAACATATCTGAGTTTACGAGCAAATCTGCAAGAACTGTACACATACACACACCCTCACCCCGGATTAGTGGCTTATGGTACAGTATGAATCCTTCATCATGTGGCATGGGATTTTCACTATAAAATAAACAGTAAAATATCACAGACATACAATTTAATACCTTTTTTTCCCTAGGTAAATTTGACAGAAACTCTGTCGTCACCTTTGTTCAGGATCCTTGCTGAAGCTATGGAGTCATATTCCTAGCTTCTGAGGTTGTGCCTTAAAATACAGTTTAGTCTTTTGTATATAATAATCAAGCATTATTTCAGATTGCTATGAACCACCTACTGCTTCTCCTCTAACTTTATTCAAAATGAAGCTATATAGACAACTCACTTGTCTAAATACATGTGGACTGTAATTAACTGTGCCCTGACAGTATTCCATTAGATAAGGCTCTAAATGAAGCCACTGTAAATGTCCACTTATGAGCTAGTCATACACTTACAACTGAGCACATGATCTAGGGCATGGTTCTTCTCCTCCTCCTAAACCAAACAGCTGAGAAGGTCAGAAGAACCATGGTGTAAAAGTACTTAATTTTTTTTACCAACTGGAGATAGACACAGATGATCAGTTTAGACTAGACTCAGAAGAAAACTATTCATTTACTCAGATAAATCCCAGCTCTGCTTATAAAAAAAAAAAGTTGCTATTTTTGTCTTTTGTACATCCCCCTAAGTGTTTCAAAAAGTAACCTGTCTATATCCTGACAGCACCCTTATGTGACAGGGAAATATTTTTCCTTGTGTTATTTATGGGGATTTGAGGCCCTCAGACTAGGTACCTAGTCTGTACCTTACCCACAGGCTAAGCTATATTTCTGTGAGTAGCAAAAACTTGGCTTGAATTCAGCTCACATTCAAACATCATCTTCTCTTCTGGAAGAGAATGCCTGGCCCCTTTTAGTCCAGGCTATCTTGTATCACGATATGTGACACTAATGCAAGGATAGCTAGAATAAAAGGCAGCAGCTGGGCTGGGCACACAACGCCTGAGCCTGTCCGCAGAGTGCTCCGAGGAGTGCCTGAGTACCAGTTGGATTGCTTCAGAGCCAGCCCAGGACTGTTCCAGATGGTCAACAGTCTGGACGACTCAGAAATACAGCTTGAAATCCAACCCTGGAGTCACTCTTAATTGTACTGTCTGGACAACTGGGAGTATGCAAAGAGCCAGATGTACAAATTTAGGTGCAAGGACATCCTTAAACTGCATTTCAGCAACTCAAGAGCATCTCATTTTCTACCACAGGAGTCACGACTCCTATATATTGGTACTATCCCACAATCTAGCTTCAGAAGGAGCTCTGGAGATGGTGAAATGATTTTCAACGTCAATGTTCTTTCACCCAGCATTCTAGACTTGAAGTATCTAGGGGCTACCAAATGGGAAAAGGCCTCTTAAATTACCAAAAACAGTACCTGGACAAGCAGAAAAACTTGAATCCAGACAGCAGAATGCAAACTTATATAAGAACAACAGTGCAGAGATTCATTTCTAGGAATTAAAGCCTGAACCTGGAGCAAGTGCTAACACAAATCCATCATTTGCACACATTAGACTAAATCTGGCACTTTCTATGGTTATTGGTCTCCTCTGGGTCAAAGACTCAGTACATTATAAACTGTTTAACAGGCACAAATCAAACACTACTCTTACAAATATTTCTTTGTTGTTGTAATCAGAATCTGCATAAGAAACATGTATTTGCAAACAATGATAGTGGTTCACTGTGATTCATTCAGCTCGAGTAAAAAATGTAGCACCTATTATAATTTGAATATACCCAAATGAAAAAAAGCAAATAAAAATATTTTAATCCAACTTAACACAGCAGAACAATGCTTCTAATCAAATCGAGCTATGTAATTGTCCTGGTTTCAGCTGTAACAGTTAATTTTCTTCCTAGTAGCCAGTACAGTGCTGTATTTTGGATTTAGTATGAGAATAACATTGATATCACACTGATATTTTAGTTGTTGCTAAGCAGTGCTTATCCTAAATCAAGGATTTTTAAGTCTCCCATGCTCCACCAGAAAGCAGGGGCACAAAAAGCTGGGAGGGAGCATGGTCAGGAAAGCTGACCCAAACTACCCAAAGGGATATTCCATATCACAGGACATCATGCCCAGTACATAAACTGGGGGCAGTTGGCTGAGAGGGGTGGATCACTGCTCAGGAACTGGTTGGGCATCGATCAGCAGGTGGTGAGCAATTGCATTGCGCATCACCGGTCTGTCTTAGCTTTTATTTCTCTCTATTTTTGTTATCTTCCTTTTCATTATTGTTGTTGCTGTTATTATTAATATTTTTCAATTATTAAACTGTTCTTATCTCAACCTATGAGTCTTACTTTTTTCTATTCTCCTCCCCATCTCACCAGGTGGTTTTGGGGGATGTGTGAGCAAGCAGCCATGTGGTGCTTGGTTGCTGGCTGGGGTTAAACCCTGACAGTTAATATGCCTGCAGCTCTTTCAGGTAAGTTCTTACCCTTCAGGTAAGAACATACGCACACACACACACACACACATATCAAAACAGGTATTTGAAAGGGATTTGCCATCCTGGATGCAGTCTGAGTAGGTACAGATTAGAGGGCAGAGTGTAACTGAGACTGATGCAGATGCCTGGTTAATAGTCATCTATTAAGTAAGAAAAGTATTACCTTTACTTCCTCCATGTGTGATTGCGTTTGTGTACTAGATAAACGCAGATGACTATTAACCAGGCATCTGCATCAGTCTCAGTTACACTCTGCCCTCTAATCTGTACCTACTCAGACTGCATCCAGGATGGCAAATCCCTTTCAAATACCTGTTTTGATGTGTGTGTGTGTGTGTGTGTGCATATGTATCTATGCACATCTATAAGCATAAATAGAGAGAATATAAAATGTAAAATATATAGATACTTCACATATTTATACATCATTATATATATGCAGAGTAGAGGTGAATAATCACTTCAATCTATCTATATTTATATAAACTGGGAATACAAGCATATAAAAATTACAAACATTTATACTTATGTAAATATATGTAGGTCAAGGAAAGTGAATATCTCCCTCATATGGGGACAATACCCGGAATGCTATGGACAGTTTTGAGACACCAGTACAAGACTTGCAGGTGTTTGGCCCAAAGAAGAGAAAGCAAAGGAGGATCTACTTGCACTTCA